CACCCACACCCACACCCACACCCATCCACACCCACACCCACACCCACACCCCACACCCACACCCACGCCCACGCCCACATCCACACACCCACCCACACCCACGTTGCGAAATATGTTTTTATCGGCATTGACTGTTAATGTAGTATGTTAGACATGATATAAGTGTTAAGCATTAATAGAATTGTGTCCATCGGTTATTTTATGTGTATTGACTGATGTATGAGTTGTATCGATTTTATCTACGAAATATAAGGATCTTGTCAATGACTTTTTGCTCTTAGATGTTTACTAGTATCCAAGGAGTCAACAGACTTTTTCGCACAATTTTGCTAGTATTTGAGCAGTTCACTAAGAGGAATATGATTGCAGTCTCGCATTTATTGACAAATATGATTGTCAATTAAAACCAATGAACTGTGTCGGCTTTATCTTTGTCTAACTTTTCGTTTGTCTCGAAGAACCTTCTTCAACAAATATTTTCTTCTCTAAACAGGCTTTTCTCAATGTAATTTTTTGTTTTACAGAGAGTGATAATAATAAAAAGTTACAAAATCACAGAAAAAATTCCGTTTGTAGCTATTTTGTGTGCGTAGGAAGCAACAGAATAATTGTTCACAAGGAACTATATAAGTTTAAGAGAATCATTTTAATAACGGTAAGTATTCGAATATCAAATTCATTAGTATTTTAGAGAGAAAGCTGTAGATATTTCATTTGTGACAGGTGCATTTTTATTTTATATGACTAAAACTTCCATTAGCTCTTCGTAAGTTCAACATACGTAAGTAAGAAAACTAACATGGGTATTTGGTAAGTTGTTTGTAGAGCTTTTTGCGAAGAATTCAGTTTTGTAACCTAAAAATGATACTTTTGTAAGTGATGTCTTCAAATATGCTTTATCTTCTATTGAAGAGTGTCAAATAGAAACAGTAAATACAAAAGCAACTGAAGCAATATTTTGAATTGATAATTTTTTTTTGCAGATAAATACATTTCCATACTAACGTGCTGTTCTATTCCTAAATGCTGCACGATAACACCTTAATTAATTTCATCTTTAGATAAATAATAAATTAATCGATTGTCTGCATCTTATATGCTGTAAAGAACGTTACGATATATATATATATGTATGAACAGTAAAAATGCTTCGACTTATAGGTTTACACTAATATTAAACATATCTATTCTATGTGTAGAGTATTTGTATATATTTATGAGGTTTTTTGAATACAATTCATCCATGTTCTCTTTTTATATTATTGAACAAGATATAGCGAGCATTAAAGAAATGTACATACAGAATAATTTCAATATATCCATTTAATATCTTGTATATTTGTATCAAAATTTTAGATTGCTATATTATAGATTATTTTAAAATGTATTTGGATTCAACATGTTCCAGTTCGGACCAAGCACCTGATGAAAATCATCATAAATCTGAAAATACTGCTGTTACAGATGTTGACATTGAAGAGCTTGAAAAACTTTTACCGTGTATTAAACAAACTCCAACTGATTATGAATTACTACTAAAAAAAGCCTGTCAACAACTTTTACAGCATCCTTGCAGTGTTATTTCAACGTTATCTTTAGTTAAAGAAATTGATAGGGAAGCAGCAAATTTACTTGTGGATGAATGTCTATTACTGTTTAGTGATGATTTATTTAAAGCTGATAGTCATCTGGATCTTGAAGGCTACATTAAATACATACCGAATACTATAGATTTAATATTTATTAACCGTCTGCTTCATTACAAAGTCGATCCGCCATTATATGTTACGAACATTAGTATTCCACAAGTGTGGAAATTCTACTTATCTGACAACGCCATCATTCTCTTACGTTCTATGAAGTTCTATCAAAAAATGTCGCTTTCTGTTAAATTTTACTCAAATGAACATTAGTGTTGTGAACTACTAAATGATAACAGTTATTTGAAACAGCACAATGAACAAAAGTATATTACGTTATTTAAAAGTGCCTTCGTTTCAATTTTAGTCAGCAAAGACTTCAATTCCTACTCCTTTTTTATTCAAATCACCTTTACCAGTACATCTCGTTAACAAATCAACCGGTGTAAGTATCAATGATTTCTAACACATATATTTATGTTTTAAGGTTGCTTGTATTTAGAAACTAATAATTGGATCAATTCGATTGTTAGCGATTTCAGAAAAGCTTCCTGTTAGACAGACAGTCAATGGCATCATTCATCAGTCAACCTAATTATGCTCTCAAACTTTCAATATTGACCGCCATTCAAAATATCTTGTTAAAGTACTTGTTTTTACTATACATTCTTTTGGGAACACTTCTCCTTATGCTGAACGTTATTTTTTTAAATACTTCTTTTTTATTCTGATGAACATTGCTTTGTGTTTTTTTTTGAAATATCTTTCTTGCTTATCTTATATAATTCATGCGCCATATAATGATAAAAATCACATTTGTATAATAAAATTCAGATATAATATTCTAGTAAATTATTTCAGCTTCTTACAGTAGTAATGATCTGCAATGATTTTCTGCTACATTCAGTTTATAAAAGATCATCTACAAGACTAATCTTGTGAAAAAATGTCATATTTATAAATAGTGCAAGAGCGAGACCCGCTATGATTGAGCGCCCTCTCTCACACAAACGTCTTCTTTCTAAAGGAAATGTGCAACATGGTTCAATGGCGATTTTGTGTGTGTACGTCAAAGTGTGTGTAGCTTATCTCAACCCTGTTGATCTTAATACAGGAAAAGTTATTGGTCCATGTTTCTCGTATCAAAAACAATTTTAAGTAAGCCTCTATCACTGGTAAAAATTTCAGCTCATTTGGTCCGACATCTAACGGAGATATTTAAATTTCTTCTCGTCGTGTTATTTATAGGACACCCTGTACATCTTTCTTTCACGTACTAAGTATTGAAGTCTGGTGCATGTATGTCTGTGTGTTTATCACCATTACAGTCGTCGCAATAAAATGAAAATATCAGGTGCGTTACTCAATACGAGATTGATATAGCAATAAGATGAGTAATTCAAAACAATGTCTTCCTATATAACGAACGAGAAAAGCAGAACACACGTGTTTACCTTGTGTTATTTGATTGCAATTATTCTTTCTCTTTCCACATACATAGTGCACAAACACTTGTTTTTCAATGGACAAGGAATCCTCAACTTCTACAAGGTTAATAATCAAGAACAATCGACGTTTGGTGGAATATTCGAATGAAAATAAAGAAAGTACAACACTTCTTTGGTTTGATCCAAATATTAGATCAAATGAAGATACAGAACGAACCAAAGAGCAATTGCGTTCGATTAATGATTTTGTCATTTTTCATACTGATCTTCATCAATGTGTTCCATATATTCAATCCATTGATAAAGAAAAAATCTTCTTAATTACATCAGGATCAAAAGCAGCACAAGTTCTACCTCTTATCTCTCATCTTCCTCAAGTGGATTCTATCTTCATCTTTTGTATGCAAAAAGACAAATATCAATATTTAATAGATGAATATCCAAAGATTATTGGTATTTATGATCAACTCGATGATTTATGCTCATCAATTCGTGAACAAATCGATCTTTTTCATAAACAATTACAAACATTCAGTATCTTCGATCATCATCAAAAATCTACCAAAGATCTTTCGAAAGAATCAGCTGAATTCCTCTGGTTTCAACTCTTTCATCATCTTATTATTCGTCTTCCACGAAATCAACAAGCAAAACAACAAATGATCGATGTATGTCGAGCCTATTATCGTGGTAATATAACCGAGCTAAAATTAATCGATCAATTCGAACGAGAATATCGTCCAGAAGATGCCATTCATTGGTATTCAATGCAATCTTTTGTCTACAAGATGATCAACAAAGCTTTGAGAAGTGAAGACCTTGATCAACTGCAGACATTTCGTTTCTTCATCGGTGATCTCTCGCAAAATCTCGCTCGTGAACATCAAAAAATTCTCTTATCCAATGAAAAGATTCTCACTGTATACCGAGGAACAAAATTAGACAGAGAAGAATTTGAAAGATTGAAAGAAAATCAAGGTAAAATCATTTCAACCAATGGATATTTATCCACCAGTCGATTTCGACTACCAGCACTTGATTTTGCTCAAAAACCAACCAAACGAACGGATGTTATTGGTGTTCTCTTTGAAATTCAGTGTAATATTGAACAACTGGGAACTAGTGTGATTTATGCTGATATTGCCTCATTTAGTGCCTATCCTGATGAGAAAGAAGTGCTGTTTGATTTGAATGCTTCATTTCGACTAGAGTCGATTGTAGACGATGGATCAGTGCAATTAATTCGAACGATAGCGTCTAATGATGGAGAAAAGATTACGAAAGATTATATTCAATTGACACAAAAAGAAACCGAAGAGAAAAGTGTTGCCATTGTATTTGGAAGTTTAATGTGTAATTTAGGTGAATATGATAAATCACAGAGATATTTTGAAGATCTATTACATAATCCAAATGGTGAAGATATCGCTTGGATAGAATTCAATATTGGTCGAGCTCTGGCTTATAAAGGTCAATGGAAAGAAGCTCGAAGATACTATGAGCAAGTGTATGAACGAATGATCAAGACAACACCAGTACGAATGACAGATGCAGCACATGTGATGAACAGTATTGGTGATGTTCTCTATCGGCAAGGATTACTTGATGAAGCTCTTGATTACCATCAACAAGCGCTGAAAATTCAAGAAAAACTCTATCCATCTGGTCATGTCGAAATCGCTCGAAGTCTCAACGAAATTGGTCTTGTTCTCTACCAACAAGGAAAATACGATCAAGCCTTAGATTACCATTATCAATCACTAGCAATGCGCGAGAAATTCTATCCATTTGGTCATGTGGACATTGCCCGAAGTCTGAATAATATCGGTTTTATTTTCTATCGACAGGAAAAGTATGATGAAGCTTTAGACTACTTTCAACGAGCGTTACAGACACAAGCGAGCTTCTTTGCGTCTGATCATGTTGAAATCGCTAAAAGTCTCAACAACATCGGCAATATTCTTGAACAAACAGGGAAATATGATGAAGCTCTAGACTACCATCAACGAGCACTGAAAATACGCCGCAAATTCTACCCATTAGGTCATGTGGTAATTGCCAGAAGCTTGAATAATATCGGTAGCATTCTTGAACGACAAGGAAAGCATGATGACGCACTAGAATATCAACAGCAAGCGCTAGAAATGCAAGAAAAGTTCTTTCCATCAGGTCATGCCGATATTGCGAAAAGTCTTAATAATATTGGTTTGGTTCTCTATCGGCAAGGAAAATATGATGAAGCTTTAGATTACTATCAACGAGCGCTGAAAATGCGTGAGAAGTTCTTTCCCTCTGGTCATGTTGATGTTGCTCGAAGTCTTAACAACATTGGTCTAGTGTTAGCTGATCAAGGAAAATATAGTGAAGCTCTGAACTACTACCAACAAGCATTGGACGTGTGTGGCAGGTTATCGCCTATGGGACATTCAGATCGAGTAGCAATTGAGCGCAATATCCATCATATTACTAGAGATCACTGAAATTAACTTACGATTCTTCGAAAAAAAAAAGATTCATGTCAGGAAGACTATAAATATGTTGTCTCGTCTTTGTCCAGCTGTATATGAAGATACGATTAATCAGACAATATAATCTCTTTTAAAGAAGATCTATCTTCTTATGAATGCTCATAAGAAATTCGGATACGAAGCTTTTTGCCAACGAATAGCACCCAAGGGTGAGTTTAACAAATAACTACCACGATCGTAATTTCGATCTTATTAAAGATCTTGTCGAGTGGCATAAAAATCTGCGTGAAATTTAGAAAGTTTAATTTAAATCAAAAAGCTTTCATCTTCCACTGTCAAAGTGATCTTTCCAAATCAATAGCAGCACATAGTCAAAGATTATAGCCATTCATTTTTCGGAAGAGTAAATTCTGTAGGCAAAATACTCAGCTAAGCTGTTGTTTTCAGGCCATTTTGGCTTGATCAATAGCATCTCATTTTAAATATCAATATAGATGGTTTTTCAAAACTTTTTTTATGAAGATGTTCAAAAGAAGCTTCCGTACCTGTGTATGTGACTTTCAATTAAAATTAACGTCGCTCTGATATAAAAGTAACGAAAATACGATATCGTTGTTAAAATTGTGGTCAGACAAAGACTAACCGATTTTAATGAACATCGATTCTGTCAAACTTAAGAATATAATTCAGGAAATCTGATCTCATATATGAGTAGAGCATACTCGAATGCATATCTTTCCATAAAGTTTTCTTTACTGAATAGTCTAGACTGGTCGAAAGGAAGCAAACAACTAAATTCGAACATGTGTTCTTATAATTGTGGCCACTACTGTAGATATACTGATGCATATGCTACTCATGAACATTGAGTTTTATTAAATGATATAATATAGAAGAAGAATCAAACTATAGTTGGACAAATATTTTCTTGATTAAATTGATAAATATTAAAATTTATTTATGCACAAGGTTCAAAATAAGTTTTTTGTTCTTTTATACTTTTCATTCTTTATTCATTATCTACAATGTTGATAGCATTAAAGCATTCGTGGTTGACATTGTCAACATGACCGCATTCATTGTCGACATCAGTCACAATAATCCACTCTTGATCAATATTATCAACGTTGAATAAATTGTTTGAGTTAATGGGCAAAAATTGGAAAATACATAAGATAATTTTAACAGCAGCTGGAAAAATCATTATTTTAAGTAAGAAAAATTTTATTTGTCAGTCGACGTTTCGAGCTTTCATGCTCATTTTCAAGACAAAATACATAATAAACAGAATAAGATACAATATAAGAAATTCTTTACAATGCAAATTAGACGAGACAGAACGAATTGCGGGTGTGAGTGTGGGGTGTGGGTGTGTGGTGTGGGTGTGGGTGCGTGGGTGTGGGTGTGGTTGTGGTTGTGGGTGTGGGTGTGGATGTGGGTTGTGGGTGGGTGTGGGTGTGTGTAGGTGTGCGGGTGTAGGTGTGTGGGTGTGGATGTGAGTGTGGGGTGTGGGTGTGTTGGTGTGTAGGTGTGGGTGTGGATGTGTGGATGTGTGGGTGTGTGTGGGTGTAGGGGTGTGGGTGTGAGTATGGGTATGGGTGTGGGTGTGTGTCTTGTCTTCTATTCATTTAAACCCATACCCACATCCACACCCACACCCCACGCCCACATCTACACCCACACACCTACACCCACACACACCCACACATCCACACATCCACACCCACACCTACACACCAACACACCCACACCCCACACTCACATCCACACCCACACACCTACACCCGCACACCTACCCCCCCCCCCCCCCCCCCCCCACACCCATACCCACACCCACCCACACCCACACCCACACCCACACCCGTAATATTTGGAATGGCTTTATTTGTTGGATGAACATTTAACACTATACTATCTGAATTTGTTGAAGATGTAGAATTGTTCGTGCTAATTGATGACGTTGAAGTGGAAGAAGATGATGTACCAGTATAGGGTGTAACAGCCGGTGCTGGATGAATTTTTTCTTTTTTTTATTGACTATGATAAATTTGTCATCATTATCACTTTCCATTGGTATCACTTCATTTTGAATATATTGATGATGTGTCATATTATTGGTAGAAGGATGGAATTGACTAGATGTCGCGAAATGTTGATTATGTGGAAGAACATTAGATGAATTTGTGTGTTGGTGCTGGTTGGAGGTAAAGCATGGATGGTGGTACATGGGCTGTTGGTTAATGGTGTTGTTGTTGAAGTTTGGAGAACAGATTTTGTTCTCTAGTACAGGGTTAATCGAGGATGAAGAAGGTTGTTGTAGTAACATTTGTTGTGATTGAAGATGTTGAACATTTGAAGAAGAAGAAGCTGGATTAGATGAGAATTGATTATGAACCAAAGTGTTGTTAACAGGAGAATTTTGGATCACTGGGTGATCGTATGTTGGGGGATAAGTAGTATTGTACATGCTATTCAGCATGTCGGCCAAGCCGAAGAACACCTAATTAATTTATTAGTTCATCAATTAAATAGAATGTAATGGATAAGTAAATCACGTGTAAATAACACAAAGGATAAACGTGATTGAATAAAGAATGTAAAGATATATAGTCGATATAACGATAAATACGACGAAAGAAACACGTCTTACTCGTACTTGTTCGATATGACGAATGTATATGCACAGATAATTATTATCGTAGTTCCATGAGAATTTAGACAAAAATGGAAATTCGACAATATTGTCAATCTGCCAGTAGAATTTCGAAATTCTACTGGAAACTTAGCATTGACGAAGTTCCGTTGCCGAAATTCCATAAAACCTTAGGATCACCTTATCTCCGCTATAGTAGCAGCGACCAAACCGATTTCTTCGTTTGTCTATCCATAAAGAGCTAGAGCATATACGGCCATTTTTCTGCCCCCAGTGAAATCGAGTTATTTCCATTGAAATGAAGTTAGGTGTAGGTCCTGATCATGAATCATAGGTTTTTTCAAATTGCTCAAAAAAAATTTTTCGACCTGTGGCACCAACGAGGAGGTCGAAAAAATTTTTTGCTTGATTCAAATAAAATGTAATCTGATTCATAGGATAAAATGTGGTCATTACGTATATTCATATTAAAAGGTCATTAGATGTTTTCTTAGCTGAAAACGCTTCATATTTCAAGATGTCCTTGATAGCTAAAATGTCCAATTTTAACCCCTCGTTTGACTCCTTGAACCCTCAAATTTATGAGAAATATACAATGTATATGTAATACTATATGTTCTATCTGAAAATGAAAAGAAAATTACATTTTCATAATGCTTTTATGCAATACTTTGAGATCAGGGAGCCCAAATGCGCTTATTTCATGCTATGTGTCATGCTTGGCCCACTGCTACTTAATGAAAAAGGACTAGAAGCAATGTCGAATTTTTTTCTTACACGTAGTTTTTCATGCTCTATCGATCTTTAATTTTTAGAAAAGTAAGAAAACAGTTCTTCATATTCAGAGTTCCAAAAACCTGAGTTTGGCGCTACTTTCAATCCACATGTAATTTTTGGACCTCTGTCTGTTCATGAAAAAGATTATAAGCCATGCCGCATTTCTTTCCTATACGTGTTTTTTCATCCTCTATCAATCTGTAATATTTAAAAATTGAAAATATGGTTCTTCGTGTTCAGAAGTTCCAAAAACCTCAGTTTTTCGCTATTTTCAAGCTATATATAAACTTTGGATCTCTGCCTCCTCATGAAAAAAATAGTAGTGTCAAATCTGAAAGTTGAATTCAATTATTGAAAATATATTTCAACTATTCAATTATTGAACGATACAACTTCAAATATTCAACTAATCAATTATTCATTTTTCGAATACTTGAAGGTTGCGGGTGTACATAGTAAAGAGAAGACCCATACTCACTCCCACACCCACACCCGACACTCACACCCTCATCAATTATTTGTGAAAAGATCTATAGTCGACAGGAAACTTTTCAGTTTACAAATGATCTATTAGGATAACAAGGTTGCCCGGCATACGTTGGTTCTGAATTTCAGCCTCAAACGAGCTGTGCTAACAAGCTTTATTGTGCTGAATCGAAATATGATATTATTCACAGATGAAAGACGAACTCTTCTGCTCGAAAACCGTCAAATATTGGCATAAAGCATTCGATTTGTTATGATTAAGAGCACTTATAAGAAAAGTAAATCTTCAGTCATCGAATATCAAGGTAAAATTATATAGCAAGTAAGAATATATAGAATTTTGTTTTTGCAAAATAAAATATTGCTGATATAGAGGAAAGAAATTCAACTTCATAAGGCAGCAAAAATCGTTATTTTTCAAAAATATCACCAAATTGGGACGACATTGACCATATTTTAGTAGGCAAGTAAATAAATATTATATTTATTCTTACAAACTCTAAGAGAGAGAAGAATTCTGTATCAAATCGATCTATCTGCGATGAATATAAACTGAAATTTAATCAGCTTTTGAGCCAAAGACTGGTTTTTAAGACTTTCATTAAATGCTTCATATTTTTCTTATGATCCGAGTACTTTCGTAAATTTATATGATATTTGGAATTAGCACACGTGGGGTTATCGAAAAATAAGGACTTGTAACCGAACGACGAGAAAACATTTTTTGCGATATCTGAGAGGAGCCAAGCATGAAAGTCGTCAAGGTCGATTTTGGGAGAGTATAGTGGAAAAAAGTGAATAGGAACACTCGCGCTTTCGATAAGTCAGAAAGGTTCACGCTTATGAGCCTGAGTGGTACACTCCTAATCACTAGTGGGCAGCTTATCTGGAAATAGATCCCTATTTTTTAACCCAAATCAGCTCATATATATACATGGAAAGGTTTTTGATCGGATCAAAAATCAAAACACAAAGGTTTTGAAAACTATTTCTAATAGTTACTGGACAGTAGTACTTAGTTCCAAAGTGGAAGCTCATAACTCGCTCATAAGCGATAGAAATCCTGATCAGAATGGAGACCGTATATCTAGAACCT